GGTCGATCAAATAGACCAATATGTCAAGGCTGTGATGATCCACTTGATAAAGTAAATCTGTTGGGTGTCTTTCTTGGCCTTCAGACAACAATTTTGATGGCTAAAGAACCAAATGGGACAGGCAAAATAACAATAAAAAACGGAGCAGGTAACTGAGCTGTGTAGTACTGTACTGTGCAGATAGCAGAGAGCAGCAGTAAACTGGAAGAGAATGGAGGTTTCAGATGGGATTTACAGGGAGAGGTTAGAAAAATAAGATCATCTTTGTAAAGACAGGAACATAAGCCTGATTGGGGAATTTCTTGGCCTCCTCGCTGGGATTTCCTGAATCGCCTTTGTCCTTTTAAAAACAGTAATAGTAGGCAGCCTTAAACACGAGTGTTAGATAATGAGCTCTGCCTCCTGCGGTGGGTGTCAGCTGAGATTAGAAGATGCATCAAATTTTCAGGTCAATGACAGCAGAAGATCAGCTCATGTAAGGATTTCATCCAAGACTTTGTTGTAATCATTACAATACTTTTGATAAGGGAACGATAAGTTTGGCTTATGTTTAACCTTTATTTATTATAAGCATATGGTCAGTGATGACAGATTAAACCAACCCTTGCTCTTTGCTCCTGTAACAGATTTATGTTTCATCTAGGTCCAGCTTCTCATTGAAAATGTATATACAATAAGTTTAGAGCTTGTTTCTTCTGAACTTATTTATTATCATTAGGTTTGATGAGCCAGTTGTACAGCCAGCAGATCTGTGAGATGTTGGAAAGATAAACAAAACAACATATGTTTAGGTGACCCATTCAGTTATCGTGAATCCAAAGAACAATGATGATAAACACCACACAGGTCTCCTTTTTCACCCTTGCTGGCTATTTTGACACAGGACGTGTCACTTACTTGTGCTTCATTGTTATTCTTGCTTTGTATATTTTCATTGTAGGTTCCAATGTGCTGCTGATTGTGGTTATCTGTGTGAACAGAAGCTTACATGAACCTATGTACATGTTTCTGTGCAGCCTGTTTGTGAATGAGCTGTATGGTAGCACAGGGCTGTTTCCGTTCCTCCTGCTTCAGATCCTCTCTGATGTCCACACTGTTTCTGCTTCATTTTGTTTCTTGCAGATCTTCTGTGTCTATGCATATGGAAGTATTGAGTTTAGTAACTTGGCTGTTATTTCTTATGACAGATATCTTGCCATCTGCTGTCCTCTGCGATATCACACATGTATGAGTTCTAGTAAGGTATCCGTGCTCATTGCATTAACATGGTTGTTGACTTTTTTTGCAATAAGTGTTTTAATTTCTTTGAGCTCACATCTGCAGCTGTGTGGGAACATCATTAACAAAGTGTACTGTGACAACTACTCCATTGTTAAACTGGCCTGTTCTGACACCACAGCCAATAACATCTATGGACTGTTCTACACGTTCACTTTAGTTCTTCTGGTAACTTTAATTTTTTACACCTACATTAGGATCCTGAAAGTCTGTTTTTCTGGATCCAAACAGACGCGACACAAAGCCGTCAGCACCTGCACGCCTCACCTCGCCTCACTGCTCAACTTTTCATGTGGTGCTTTTTTTGAAATTATACAAAACAGATTTGATATGAGACAGCTCCCAAATATGTTGCGTATTTTTTTATCAATATATTGGCTGACGTGCCAACCACTCTTCAATCCTGTAATCTATGGGCTAAATCTGACCAAAATCCGAGTCTCATGTAAAAATGTAATTCGTAGAATGAAGGTTTTTACACTTTGTCACAAATCAAACTTTAAAATATAATATCCAGTTAAAACTATGTGTTTGTGCTTTATTCAGCAAATATTTGGCAGTTAAATTTCTCCACAGTCAATTCTGGAGACAATTGAATACGTCTTCATGTCAGAATCAAGATCCATCCATTTTGTCTTTTTTGTTTTCCTGATCCGTCTCTTTCCTGATTTGAATTCAGCCTCAAGCTGACAGGTTTACAAGGACTGTTGCAGTGTCTTATTATAATGAAATCTTGTGAGAAATGATATAATAAACGAAACACAGAATTGTCTGAACTGGTATTGATTTTGGTCTTAATGTGTCTGAAATCAGAAGTCATTGTGCCATCACTTAGTTCATTATTTAATATATTTAGAAGGGTTAAGTTAGCCTAAAGGCTACAAGATCATTTTTGGCAGTCAGGTTGTTAGTTAGGGCTAATGGTACCGCTGATAGATTTAATAAATGTAAGTTAGTAAACAGGTTTTTCTCTTTATCCCGATACAGATGTGATTTCTTCCATTTTATAAACGCCTGCTTGTGCCTGAAATTTCTGCAAACCAACAGATTAAAGAGTCATTGACTTTGTTGTAGTAACCAGTGAAAATGGAAGTGAGAAAACATCCATCTACTCTGTTCTGGTTATCCTTATCAGGGTCGCTGGAACCTGTCACAGCTGCCACAGGGTGTGGGGTGCTGCTTTGCTGTCAGACCCAAAAGACACAGCATTTATGCTGGATATGAAAAGTGTGTGTGTGTGTGTGTGTGTGTGTGTGTGTGTGTGTGTGTTTAACCAAATAATAAGTTCAGTGTAGGGCTTTGAGTTATAATTTTCCTCAGTACTGTTTTTTTATCTTCAGTTTCGATCATTGCATGTGAGAAATAAAAAAAAAAAAATTCATTTCATGTTGTTTATATAGAATTAAATCACAAAGACAGGTGCTTCAAGGAATTTCATATAAAGACCATACAAAAATACATTTGCAGAGCATATCCTAGCAGCACATACTGTTAATTTACTGAGGAGGTGTCATAACTAAGGAGGACTCAAAATGCAGATTTGGGAGGTTAAGTTCAGTGTGTTTTGTTTAAAGTCAGTGTTCAACAATCATCCAAAGTGCCCTTAATAGAAGTCTGATAATTCATTGGCTCCAGTTCAGGCAAATCCAGAGTCTGTTCCCACAGCCAGGTCTCTCTCTAGGCTTAAATATCATGCACTTAGCTCCTACTTTACCTACCAATTGGATCATCTGTGGTGACAGATGAAGTGCAGGCCTGTGGCTGGCACATGATCAGTTATGCAACTGTTTCTGTTTGGTTTTGATGTTCATCTCATGCAACAGTACATGAGTGGAAACAAATTGAAAGCTGTCTGAAGAAATAGACTCATTATTATATCTATTTCAATTCTATTGTATTTATACAGTGCAGAATCACAGTAACAGTCATTTATTGTAAGGAAGAAGGAAGAAACCTCCGGCAGAACCAGGCTCAGGGAGGGGCGGGGCCATCTGCTGCGACCAGTTGGGGAGAGAGAAGGAAAACAGGATAAAGACATGCTGTGGAAGAGAGACAGAGAATAATAACAAGCATGATTCAATGCAGAGAGGTCCGTTAACACTGGCCTCCATCCTGGTGGATAAAACAATGGCTATCACAGCCTGCCCCCATCTTAAGACTAAAACAGAGGTGTGACAGCTCTTGGCGCTTGCTGGTTTTTATCCATGGTTAGTCCTGAACTTTTTGGAGCTGACCAGCCCCTTAACTTATCTCATCCAAAAGGATGTCCCTGATTGGACCAGATCTGATCAATTGGACAGAACAGTGCCAGGCAGCTTTTGCCCAGGTGAAGAAGGTTCTCTGTGGGGAACCCCTGCACCATTTCTAACTTTTCCCTACCTTTCATCCTGCAGACTGATGCAGACTGACGTATGCCTGGGGGCTGTTTTTTCCTAGCAGTTAAGAAAGGTTGTGTACATCAGCAGGAAACCTTTGGAGTGGGAGTCCAGGTACAGCATCGTGGAGACAGAGTGCTTGGCAATCTGGTGGGTGGTCAGATTACCTCCATTATTACCTCCGGGGCCCCCCTTTCACCTTCTGTTTGGATAATGCCCCCCCTGCACTGGCTCCACTGCATGAAAAATCCCAATGCCGGGATCTCACGGTGGGTTCTTGCTCTTCAGCCTTTTAAGTTCAAAGTGGTCCATAGGCTGGGGGCACAAATGGTCGTGGCTAATTTCCTCTCCCACCCAACTGGCAAAGTGTGGTTTGTGGCTCAGCTGCAGGGCAGTGGTGCACCAGCAGGTTCAGGGTGTCAGGGAGGCTGGTTGTCACAGCCGGTGAACACACATACATCAACACTACAATGAGCGGGTGGAGGGAGGTTTGGAGTCTTCTCTCA